ACAGAAAATTTCTATGCTATTTTGAATGGTGTAATTGGATTTACTTCATTATAAAACATTTATAGGCCAAAGAAGCATTGAAACCAAAAATTCATAATACAAGTCATAATTTTATTAGTAATTATTATATTAATATCAAAGTTATAAATATAATCGTCACGATAATCGCAAGTATAATTCCTAGTACACGAAGATTTAACATTAAGCTTACAAAGATTTTATACCAGTCAATTTTATATATATTATTTTATTATATATTATGTGTTATATATATTANTCTGTAATTAGAATTGTGAAATTTAATTATTTAATCACTCGCATTTCATTCTAAGTGCTGAAATACAATTATAATTTCACGAGTATTGCTCTTAATTTTATTCTAATTACATGGAGTATTAAATTACCAGGGCCTAAATTAAATGTTTTAACGTTAATAATTTTGTTTAAAGCCAATGAAGCGTTGTTTCGATGCTACTTAGCTTCATATAACAAAAATGCCTAATTTGCTTGCAAAATGTGCTCGCTATAAGTACATGTATATAAATGTAAAGCGTGATAGAGGAATATGAATATACTTTATCACCCTACTTGACCTAAGCAATCCCAGATACGACATTCAACAGGACCTAGACTTCCCCACACTTCTCCTACACCCTTCCTCCATTCAAATGAGACATCAGTCACCTTCTAGCAACAACAACCTTCTGTTTTAACCACACCTTCCGAAATCTTCCCAAAAAAGCTAGAATTTTCCTTACAATCATTTAATACTCAGTACTTAACTACGTACTTCCCAACTCCATCATAATCCTCAAAAAACACTGCAACTTCTTTACCTCATATCCCATCAGTTTGCGGCCATTATTTGATAAAATCGTTTAAAAACACCATTCCATGAATTCATGTTCCGAAGATTCAACGATGCCTCAGGTTGGTAGCATAATAGCATCCTCCATTGAGCGAAAGGTGCTCGAGGCTTACGGTAGGCAAATCTTCGATCGACTTTAGCACCTGGCCATGCTTTGGAAACTTGAGAGAGCATCAAATCAACTTCCCATTCTCTTATTACATCATCCTAAATTCTATCTGTCCTTTAGATACTTTCAACTACGAATCGCAATATTCTTACTATGCCGAAGCAGATATTTCGAAAACCAGCATTCTTGGTCCCATTCTCTATTCAGTATAACTGGTCAATCTCAGTTGTCCTCGAAACCGAAAATAGTCGTCACGGACGACTGCATAAAACCCTCATCCCCAACCCCCTAGTCAAACATCTTGACCGAACCCTTCCCGACAATCCTCTAAGACACCTTTAATGTAACTTGTCTTGCGATTTCCTTCCTGGCGAGGAAGGTGATTAATTTTGTGATAGGATTGCAATTACTAGATTATTTTTCCACTCTTATAATCTGATAATATAAAATCCATAAAGTCAATAAAATTATTTGTTGCTCTAGCGTCGTCATAGCATAATAATAAAATTTAAAAAGTAATGAGTCTTTAGGATAAATAATGAATTTAAATAGTTTCTAACTGACGAAGGCAAATTTGCAATTGTGTACACTTCAGATAATTGTGATATGTGCAAAAAGAAAATATCCTTGAGTATTCGGGAGTATTTATTCAATTTCCGTACCGTACTTATGATCGAAAAAGAAACGAACAACGAACTAAGAATTTAGTAAACAATCAATAGTATGCACGGCATTTATTTTTATTCTTCCGAAGGTGTTAAAAGCAACATCTTTTTTTGCTTCACTTGTTTAGATTCAGGACAGAACCTGTTTGAAATGATGTTTCAGAAAATGTCTTTCTGTATTTATTTCATTCGTTATTGCCTCTGTTCCTTGTAAATCAAAAAGCCGCTTGAAACAAATGGAAATTATTTTTATGTTTTATTTTAATGACCATAGAATGACTTGAATTATAATAGATAACACTGCAAGTATTAATAACATGGCATTTGGGTTGAATAGGTCGTCAACACGAACACTCCGCGTGACTGCAAAGAAAGAATCCCTTTTCTGAAATTTCTTTAAAACTAGTTCATTAAGAATAGACAATATATGCTAAGAATATATAAATATCAGGTGCAAATATTCACGGCACATATAAATATTTTTTGACTTGTAAAGTTATAAGTATAAATGTAACGTATAAACTTTTTTTTTTCTTTTGAAATCTGTCTATACTTGGTTTATATGCATGTGAGCTAATATTTTTTCAACCCTAATTCACGAGACTATATTACATTTTACCTAAGACCAAGGTCTGATGAAGTTAAGTGGTATTTTTAATAATGTGTTCCCTGTTCGTGATAAACATGTTTTCCCATTTGAAGAATAATTTGACACTTTTTTTTCTAGATTGGTAGTATATGTAATAAAAACTAACCTTCTCATCTTAAAATTTGATCCTCCAGTGCTGAAGAAGATCCCGTTTTCTGAGAATTGTGACATCTCAACCACGGTGGAAGAAGAATCGTTGGAATCGAGGTTTTTCACTTTCAAACCCCCAACGACTTCCTCCTTCAGACTAAGTCTGGAGATTGTCTAGACAGATGCGGTTACAAAAGACCTTGGCAATGCAGAAAATCTGGGAACCTGGGGTTGAAAATTGAGATGGGGTGGGACCTACTAATATGGTGGGGAGTTGACCTTGGCAAGGCAAAAACTCTTGGGGTCCGCTGTAGAACACGAGCAGTGGCATACTGAGCTGACATGCTCGATGCTGAATTGACTACAGGCAACACCAGGTATACCGAGGGCGAACAAGAGGGAGAAAAAAGACTGGTCAGTGGGATAGGGTCCATTCTTCAAGTTGTCATTGTGACGTATATGCTAAAAAGGCATATAAACGAAAATCACTGGAAGGGAACATGTCTTTTCTTAAACTACTTTGCTGATGCACATCTATTGTCGTTTGGTCCTTCTGGAAATACCTTTAATTTAGTTAAGTTTTATTTCTGTATTTTGGTACTTTTGGAGAGTTAAAGACTAACAAAAGGCTAACAGAACGTATGTACATCATGTGTACTAAGTTTAAGGATGTTTTATAATAAATACTACTTTTAGTCAAAGTTACTGTACATCAAAATATATAAGAATAAAGACATGTGAATTGGATACCAGTATAAGCTATTTTGTATAAAAATGGAAGTATGTTTAAACACGACAGGTTTTGGAAATGGTTGTCGATTAAAGAGTTGACATGTCAGAACTGCGTCGTATGGTACCTGCGAATCTTTTCACTTCTTAAATATTTCTAAGAAGCGTACAATATCATTAAATTAGAAGTAGTTTAAATCAATAGTGATCATTGTCACATGTGATAAAAAAAATTAACTGTGAGAATATCACTCGCAGGGTTAGCAATTTTGTACATAAGTAAATGCCAACTTGTCTGTTTATATACCATGTTTTTTTTAAGTAAGATCGTTTAGTAGAATTGTATTTTAGTTCTTCAGGAGAGACTGCAAGTTGGGCATATCAAAACTAACTGTTAATATGGATCTTACAATATGCTCATTATTTTTCTCTTCAGTTTACACTTCCATCCTTTAAATAGATGTAAGATTGTTTACATGAACTTTGGGAGAGATTACGAATTATAAATAAGGCATATCAGAACTACCATAAATGAAGCAAGTTGTAACAAAGCTAAATAGAGAATTTTTAAATATTAATGTCTACATGTCTTTTAATTCAAGTGTATATTAAATAAGATTGTTTAAACCATTTTTAGTCTGATAGACAATTTTTCGTTCTACTTGAAAGACATCAAGTTAGACATATTAGGACCACTTATTTGCGTATTTTGAAAGACAAGGTTTTTGCCCCACTATTCTGAATTAGTTAGGTACTTCAATAGTACGTTGAAGTTGAAAATTGATTGAATTATTAAACTGTATGTTTTTAAGGATTTAATTTAATAAGTGGTTAAGTTTAGAAGAAGATAGGATGTCTGTTAAAAGTGTTTCTGACTGTTTTCTAATACAACATTGCTTAGCGGTCTACTAATAAAAAAAAAAGTGGTATAATTACAAAATGTTACGATGCTACATGTAAATCTGTTCTGTGATAAATACGGTTATTTTTTCAAATAAAATCGTCACAGTTCCTTTTGATTTTGGTTGTGCTATGAGTAAGGTATAATAGAACTGTCAGTAATAATTCTGACCTTGTTAGTTCTTAATCTTTCCGTCAGACCTGTTTTTGGCAATAAAAATCGGCCAGTTAATTAAAGCCTCACTGATAGAAGATATGAATTTTAATTTTACGTAAAGGCGTTTCACTGTCAGAAGTATTTACAGGATGTCTCATAACAAAGGACTGAAGTGTTGCGGGTTAAAATCGTTAAATGCAAATGTTTTGTCTGTGTCCTATTTTGATAAGTGACATTTCATTATTCGTGGTGGTGTGCTTTTATAAATGAAACACATACACCAAGATGAAAACTCTCACTAAGAATTTCGATGTAGTTTCAAAGTTCTATCTCCGACGACAGTTGGGACTGTTGAAATCAACCCACGCTAGCCCCACTTAAGACAACAAAGGAAGAGTTTCAAAAGGTCGCAAAAGTTTGCTACTCGACATCCCAATTAATTTAAATATAGACCAGACTGGGTAAAGTACGAAACGCACCATGCGTACATAGTATCTATACCAACTAGATGTAATTATTGCTTAAATGGAAAGATTGCTATCATGAAGAACACTAGCGGAGACAAAATGTGCCCTAATAAGAAGTTATTTCAACAATTGTAGATCATTTTAACAATCTAACGATATATTATTCAATTTAAATTAAATAATTTATAGACTAACTTGACTAATATTAAATAATTGTACTACGCGGTCAATAGCAACAAACCACGTTTGACTTCTCTAGTCTGCTCATCCTGTGTGGGATCACATCATCAATTCCGATCAAACTGCAATATCATTCTAAAATTCTCGTGAATATTCCAATTTTCGAGTTACCATCAACTTAAATACCTATGAAAGGACTTCGCCGCCCTGCCAGCTGTGCCATCCGTCATCCACAAATTGTCCGTTTGTCCTCGTTTTGACGAATAGTCACCTCTGGGCATTCCTATGGCAACTGGTCCCAAACCAAAACGACGAGGCTGACGGCGCTATGCAAAGCAGGATACGACTTTTTAAACTGGGAAAATTAGACCCCTTGATGAAGACATTTCTTGAATTAAGAATGAACCAACGGTGAGGCACAATTTAACTGCGCCAACACAACAGAAAATCAACATTGTTCGCGTGAGATAGGGGCAAATTACTCCAGCGGCCTTGACACTCGGCAAAATAAGCAAATTTGAGAGAATTAAGAAAATATTTGGTTGTGTGTGTGCGTGCGTGCGTGTGAGTATTTGTACATACCTATTAAGATGTTCATGAATATCTACATATGCCTTCGTGAGTTTAACTTTTGATCCCCCTATATGTTTTTATTGGGACGTTTACGTGAAAAAACCCCAAGAAACGTAAATTTTTATTTTTAGTTTAGTTTTTCATGAAACACTAAGTTTTGATCTAACTCTTCAGGACAACCGGGATACGAATAGGAACTTAACTATTTCAAATAGCAAGATACTCATCAATGTATATATTTTTGAAAGTTTTTTTGACGGTGAATCCAGTGGTGTAAACGGTTTTTAATTGGAAGCAATCGATCTCCAGTTATTCGCAAAAAAGCTTTTTCCGAACGCTGTTTTTCGGATAAACGAAATCTTTTATAAATTCTTCAACCAATCACTAATTTATTTATTTATAATTTGGATAGTAAATTACTTTCTCGTGGTACAGAAAGAAAACTTCAGAACAATTTCCTCAAATAACATCGATTAACAGGACACACTGGATGTAAGCTCATACAGCCTGGTACAAATTTCAGTTCCTTTACTCAAAAGCAAAATCACCTCCACTTTTTTTTTTAATTGTACGAGACTTTTTTACGATTTGCACAGAAAGTCGAAGAACATATAACTGAACTTTAGTGTGATGGTTTTTAAGATAAGTGTAAATTACGTATTAAAAAATTTCAATATTTTGTGGGAGGAGGATTATTCAAAAACCTGAAAGGTAAAAAAATCAATTTTTATTTACATTTTGTGTGTCAAACATAAATTTCCCTAAGTTTGTGAAGAAATGTGTCAATGTGTAATGTATTGCCTATTTGTTGAATTCTGTTGATGAAAGAGTGGAACGAGTAATTGCTGGAGCAATAAGGGGTGTTAAGTAAGGTATAATGGTAAGAATTGTATTTAGGAATATTGAATTTTTTGGAGGAAAGTATTTCAGATCAGGATCAAATTATTGCTTAATAACTTGTGTAGAATGTACAGTCAAACTTTCTCCTACTTGCCTCCAGGGTATCCATATTAACAACAGATATCATAGAGTTATAATCACAATGAAAGTTATGTTTCAAGTTATACATTCACTCTCAACACTCACTGGCGGACACAAAGAGGTTATTTGATAATTGACCATATATTCTCGCTTACAAATATTATTAACCTATAAACCTAAAAAAAAAAGGGAAATAAAATTTTACATTTTTTGTTGACTGTAAAGCAGCCTTTGACTCAACATATCGTGCCATTTGCTCTAATCATTTGGAGATTTTTTGTATGCGGGATAATACCAGGCTGCATAGAGCACTTAGATGGCTGCCGATAAATCAGGTTGGAATTGAGTGCTGGTGTGGCTAGATCGAAGTCCAGATTTGAACCCTATTGCACATTTCAGCCCAAATTAATCTAAGAATACGATGGCGAAACCCAGGTCCTAACACCTTAGTAGGCAAAAAGGCCTACTTCATAAATGGATAAGAATTCCTCAGGATTTTATCAGAAATCTTTTCAAGGACTGCAAAGGCATTTAACAGCCATAATTTGTGCCAGAGGTGGAAATAGTACTAAATGGGACAAAAAAGTTTTTTTATTATATTTTTTAAATTTATTTATTTAATTTTTTTCCATTCAATAATTTTTTTTTAGAATTAGGTAGATGTAGATGATTAGTCAGGGTGTATTTTAACTTTGTCTTTTAAGAGCTATTGTATCCACTGTTCTGTGCTTATAGCCTACCAGTGAGTCTAGTTAATCAAAGAATTTGATTAGTAGGCTCAGTTTCAGAGGTTCAATTCCTTCTACGGTAACATTGTATGTCCCAAAGCTCTTCTTTCTGTGGACAAATGTAGCGCCACAATTTGTTACAAGGGATATTGGTGTCTCCTCTGCTTCTTCGCAGAATCTGCACATGCTGTGTTGGGTTATGTCAATCTTCTTTAAATGTCCATTTAGTTTGCAGTGTCCTGTTAAGAATCCTGTTAGAATTCACAATTTTTTCCTGCTTCCCTTGATACATTCTGTTACTTCTTTCCTTCCAAAATTTGTTGGGCGGTTCTTGGATTGTTTATGTCCACTGAGTGAGTTCCATTGTTCCCTCATTTTGTTTTTGTCCTTCTGTCTGAGGTACTCATTGATATTTGGGGTTCCTATGCAGAAGGGTTTGGGCCCTATCAGCACTATAGCAGCCCCTTTTCTTGCAAGAGTATCCACTTTCTCATAGTCCTGGGACCCAGCAGAGGCTGACTTTGTTTAGTTAGTTTGTTTTAGTTTATGTTTAGTTTGGTTTTGCAGGTCAGCACCATCTTTGAACTAATGATATCTTACCTTAGTGTTTGATGGCTGCTTGGCTATCTGACATGATAGCTATGCTTTTGTTTTTGTACCCTTTAGTCAAACTGAATTGAGTACATCTCTCGATTGCATAGACCTCACCTAAGATACTAGAGTATTTCCCATAGGTTCTGAGTATTTGGTTCCAGGACCAAATACTCATGTGTTCTAGATCCGTACGAATAGGTAATAAACATTTTGTTTTTAAATATCTTATTTTTACAATCAAACCTATTTTTGGTATGCAAAATATGAATAAACCTAAATATATTAAAATTGAAAGGTGGTGCGATTAATTTGTCCATCAGTGTATTATGGCCTGACGAATTTGGTTTTTGTGTGAAGAAACAAATAATTCTTAAATTATGTTCAGGCAAGTTGAAATGAAATAAAATCTATTATTATTATTATTATTATTATTATTATCATTATTTTTAATTTGTATAGTTTGGAAAATCTGCTGTTGTAACAGTGGATGAGTGGACGACTGTGAAGAAACCAAGCGAGAGGCTTCATGGCCGAGTAAGTGACACTGCATTAAAACGTTCGTCATTACCCCTTAATCTCTGAATTTCTCTAATTTACAACCGTATCTCAAAGGTAATTGAATTAACCCTGATTAATCGTATTTTAACGCTAATATAGGCTTTTGTTATTATTTCACCTGAACTTATTACGTAAATATTGAATAAATAACCTAAATGTTTTGGGTTGTTTGTATTGTTTGTTAATTTATTGTGTTAATCTTTTATTACCATAGTTGTTTTTGTTGATCAGCTCCTATTCGAATGGGCGAGTTCTCAGTGGTAATATATTTTCTTTTTCTTTTTTGTAGTTTTTGTTTTGTGTTGAATACTATTTGTATTAAAGCAATCATCAGTACCAAAAGAAATGATCTGAAGATCAGATCTTTTTATCAACTTGTTAATTTTTTTTAATATAATCTTATAGATGGAAGCTGAAGGAGTAACCCCGGCTTACATGGAGCTGGCGCAGGTAAAATTTGCCCTCCAGCTCTCTGAATATCAAAAAGACCAGGCGTTGAAGGACAAACTGCTCAATGGTATAAAACAAGGCAACATGGCGCCTTATTACAAAGAAGTAGGTTTTACTTCACCGTAGGCGTTAGCATTTTTACTCAGACATTTTCTTTTAGGTAACGAAAGACCTCCATTGGCCATTTGACAACAAACTGTACAACGAAATGGCAGCAGCTAACACTCTCAGGTTGGCAGAACTTGAGAAAGAACATGAAAATTCTGTAATCGACGATGAAGATCAAGTTTCTGGACTGTGGCAGGCTAAACTCGACTATCTTTGCTCGATAGGAGACAAAGAGGGTGCGACAGCTTTGGCCAATGGAAAACTCAATGACAAAACAGTCCCAAAAACGCACCGAATAGATGCTGTATGTGTTTAATTTTCTATCATATTCTAATGAATAACTAAATAATGAAACCAATTCTGTTTTTAGGTTTTCGCCCTGTTTAGATTATCATATTTTCATGGATGTGATATTAAAGGCATGTCATCTGCGATTGAAAAAGCAACAGAACTTATTGAAGGACAGGGAGACTGGAGTTCAAGAAACAAGTTGAAAGCTTATGAGGGTGTTTGGAGTTTTTCAATAAGAGATTATACCAGAGCTGCTCGGCTTTTTGTAGATGTTGTACCCACATTCGAATCATACGAGCTAGCTGATTTTGGAACGATAATCCGTTACACAGTACTCTCTTGTATGATCGCCCTGCCAAGATGCGAGCTCAAGAATAAATTAATGCATGCCGGAGTCACTGCACAGGCCCTTCATTCACAATATACACACTTGAAAGAATATTTCTTATCTCTATATGATGGAAGATACGCTGATTTTCTTGTTTCACTTGCTGAAATCGAGTCTTGGATGAAGAGGGACCCGCTTCTCCATCCGCATTACAGGCACTATGTACAAGAAATGAGGCTTAGGGCATACAAACAGATCCTTCAGGCCTATAGATCCCTCTCTCTCGACTACATGGCTCAGTCATTCGGTGTAACACCAGAATTCATTGAGAAAGAAGTAGCAAAATTTGCAGCTTCTGGTAGGCTGCAGTGTAAAATCGATTCTGTGGCACGGACTGTCGTGACTAGCGTTCACCTGAGTGATGAAGCAATGAGAGTAAAAGATGTCTCAGATCTTGACATGGACAGAAGTATGCTTTACAAAACTACTGTTAAAAGAGGGGATATTCTGTTGAACAGGTTGAAGAAATTAGCACGTGTGATGGATTTCTAATTATTTAGCTTATAATAATTTTTTTTTAAAATAACATTTCGTTTATATCTCATTTTTTTCGCTTTAAAAATAAATTTATTTTGTAAGTTGAATTATTTAATTTTAAATACCTTATATTTTAAATACATCTAAAGAAATGCTTGCAATTTCTCAATGCTGCCTTATGGACGATGGTATTTCAACTACGAGGTTATATAAACTCTCGGGGTGTAGATGGTTAGGGTTTGCGACTAGGTAAGCTAAGCTAGAAGTTTTGTCATCCCTGATCATCCTGCCTATTCCTGCTGGTGTAATGACATCAGCTTATTATTTTCTGAAATGGGGTTTATGACAAATCAATTCTACCATTCAGGGTATTTTTTCACGTTTTTACTGTTAACTTCTACCCTTTCCCTTTTTTTCCTTTTCTACCATACAATTTGCACTAAAAATATTAAAATTTGCATGATGATGTCAGAGACATCACCAACTATTAATTACCTTCTTTAAACTAGACTTCTTTTGGAGTCTAATACATATTCATTCATCATTGTCTAATACATACATTTTGAAAGGAAATAGCAACAAAATCATATAATTAAAAAAATATATACAAATTAATTAATCTTCATTAAGTTCATGATCTGAATTAAACTTGACAATGGTATACACTTCAAAGTTAGTTTCTGTAAAACTACAGCATTTATTGCTAAAAAATTTATGTACCTCGAAAAAACTTTACAATATCAACTGACTGATAGGAGCTTAAAATAATTGGATAGTCGAGTCCCTATATAACAACTTAATTGTTTTAATTTAAGATTTCATTAATTTACCTCAATTCAGTTAACACAGTATTTTTGACAAAGTTTTGTTAATTTCTGCTGTAATATAATTCCTGCTTATCCAGGGATTTCTGTTTTGTGATGAAAGGAAATAATCACCCTGCTATTTTAAAAGAAGGTGAAATTCTCAATTTTGGCATTTTTAAGGTTTACTAGGTTGGAAATATGAATGGGTACTGACAATGGCTATTTTTGTGTTTCAAATGAGTTTCTTCCACAACCAGACTACTTCAGAAAAATTAATTTTTCAGGAAAGGCAAAAAAACTCCATCCAGAAATTGTGGAATGAGGGCTTCCAATTTGAAAGATTACTATTTCAATTAAGAGAATTCTGTTGTTGGTATGTTTACAACTTTATTCCTGAAAAATTAACTGAAATCCGAATACATTTTAGGCTCCTGTCTTTTTCCTCCCATGTTCTTATCTGTCTAGTTTATTTTTCTAAATAATCAAAAATGTTTCAAATTTGCAACATATTTCAAATATGCAAATTTCAGCAATATTCTTTAAAAACAGTATAAAAGTTGAACCACCATACATTGGTATGATTTGGGTAAATATCTGATTGCTATTAAGTGTTAGCAAAAGGAATGTGCAATTGCATACAAATTCAGGCTCTAGTTAACAATAATATGCACTTTGTTATTATTTAAATAATTCTGATTGCATGATTGATATGCTCAATTGATAATAATAATTAATAAGCTCAACTCTACACATATTATATGCACATCCATCCACATATGTATAGAATTAAGCTTATGATTTGTGCAGTTTGCAGAAAAGAAAATGCAACACAAGATATCTACCAAATACTATAACATGTAACTAAACTAAAAACAAATATAACATGAAACTAAACTTATTGACTTCATCAGTATCAATGATGGAATATGAGTAACCAACGCTGTAACACTACACATTCATGCTAATAAATACATTCAATTATTTGCAACACAAGATATCTGTCAATTACAAGTTATACATTAAGTCGCCATTGTACAATAAAACAGCCCTGTTTCTTCCAAAAATCGAAACAGGCAACCATAATACTCGCTGCCGTGCCCAAGCATAATTATAATATCGGGTCGCATTCCTACACTCTCTCTATAAGGAGCCAAGTAACGATACCCTTCAATTAGGTGGGACAAGTCGAACAACCTTTCTCTGCATGCCGGACATATAAACAAATTTCGACCCAAAAGTAATCTTTTTGAAAAATAGCTCTTACTCACAGTTTGTTGTTTTCAACTACCGGATTTCAAGATTAAAGCTCATCATCGGGTTGAAGAATTTAAAACTACTTCTCTCGATACGAACTGAGTGAAATCGCCGAATCCACCGCCAACGCGACGCTGGGGGTGGCTGAATCCAATTGTTGCTTCTTTTAAAGTTAATTATTTTTACTAACAACTTATCAATAAATATTTCTTGATATTCATTGTTTTTAGATTTTTTATTTTTATTAATTAATACAGATTAATTACTAATGTAAAATTATTTTCTTACAGTATTTATTAAGATGAAATATTTAGTAAGAGCTACTTTTAGTAAAAAGCTAACGTTTTTCCCGTTGAGCGGCATTAAAACTAGCTTCCCATTGGAACGTCGGGTGTTGGAGGGGGATCGGCGCGGTTTCAACAGATCGTGTTCAGAGACGTGTTTGTATCTCCTTCAACCTGATGATGAGCTTATTGCTTTAAATATAAGTTTGAAGTCCGGCAGATAAAACAACAAACTGTGAGTAAGAACTTTCTTTTAAAAAAAATATTAAACAACATGCTCACTCCACCATTTATCATTTCCATTACATTAAGTGTCCGTGTGTCAACCATTGCATGACCTATTCATAATTGGGTGGGGATGATCGTTCTACAATTTTGAATTTTTCCTAACCAAAATTAAACTAATACTGGTCAAACTATTTTCATTATTTCATATCTATTTACTTTCTTTGCTTTACGGGCTGGATTACATGTACACATAGGGTTTTCTTTAAGAACTGCAGTCATGTCTTTTATAAGTTTCAGCAAATAAACCAAGGTAGGTGCTCGAAACAATACACAAAATAACAATAAATAGTATAAAAAATATTTAGAGATCATGAGAAGCAGTCTGGTGTGATTATGTTTAGAAAAACTAATCTATATTTCTTTAGTGGTCATAATTGACCATATTAATTATTCCAATAAATTATTCTTTTCATCTATAGTTTTTGGTTGAGATGAAAAATTAGTGTTACGAGCGGGATTCCAACCCACGACCTTCGGCTCAATACGCTGCTGCTCTAACCACTTGTGCCGAAGATCGTGGCTTCGAATCCCGCTTGTGACACTAATTTTTCATCTCAACTAAAAACTATAGATGAAAAGAATAATTAATTGGTTTAGAAAAACATTTTCTTATTCGTGGCGTTTCGATCTTTATTGAGATCATCTTCAGGACCTGGGATTTATAAAGATTGTTTAAATTATACATTTCACATCTTACATGTATTTGTATAATTTAAACAATGTTTATAAATCCCAGGTCCTGAACATGATCTCAATTAAGATTGAAACATTGACACGATAAAGAAAACGTTTTTCTAAACCTACATCATACCAGACCGCATCTCTCGATCTCTAAATAATAATTAATTAACGGTCACTAAATACCAAACACAATCTAAGCTTAATAACAATAAAACATACATCAATTTGCAAGTTTAGAGAATAAGACTGAAGAGGGGTATTGTATGGTATGGTAAGGTAATGGAATAAGGATACTAGGAAGCGGATTTCTAAGAATGGGTGTCTGATTTTGTTAATTATGGCTGTATGCCCGAATTGTTTAGTTCCTATCCAATTTGATTGTTTCTGGAGCCTAACTGAGCTTTTCCTAGCCTCTCCTTGTATAAATGTTTCCAGTGGAGGTAGGTTTAGCAGTGTTTCTAATGCATTTGTAGTTGTTCTCATTGTCCCTGTAACACAGAGGTTTGCTTGGTAGTCTTTGCATGCTGCCTAATGTTTGGGTAACTATATTTTGTTGAGCTTTACTCCACTGAAGAGGGGTTTTAGTCTAAAATTAAACCAGTGCTATACTGAAATTGGTAAACATACCCCTTATTTTTGTACAATACATTTAGAAGAAAAACTCCAAAAAAGATTATAACAAATTACAAATTATAATTGTAGGAAAATTTATTGTTAATGTAATATTATCAACATAATCTTTATTTTCATAAAAATACAAAAACAGTAACATTGAAGATAAAACATTATCACATTTAAAGACAAACTATTCCACAACACTAATTACAATTGTAATCTATAAATAAACATATTACTCTTCTAAAATGACATTCAAATATAAAATTTAATTAAATATACAATTAAACTATTTTATTATTAGTGAAATAATTGGCTTAAGTTTTCTATACACTCTTCTTGTACCTTTGTCAAAGAATTTTCGTAGCAGAAGTATTTTTCAAATGGTTAATAATTTTTATGACAGTCTACTTGAGTAAACATGTTGACATTTATAATGACATCTTTTTATTTCTTTTCACTATATTTTACTTATCATCATATTTTTTCACAATTATTTATTCATCCAACAGAGTTATCTGAATAGTCACTTTTTCCAAATGAAAATTCAATTTCTAACTTAATTTATTAATGAATATATGCTTTAAATCGTCCAAAGAGTCTTAACAAGAGGATAATTAAAAACGCTGTTCCAATAAGAGCTCCTAGCAATGCTAAAAATGCACTTAATGAGACTTCTGGCGATAGTGGCTTGCAATATGAACATAGTCCAGGCTAAAAAAAGGTAAAATAAAATAAAAATAAATAAATAACGAAAGAAAGAAAAGACCAACAAATAAATAACAAACATAAATAAACTATTACCCAGCCACCGTTGTCAGCAATCCAGCTGGCCAATTCTTCCTCGACTGCAACTGACATGGCTTCTACTAGCGAAGTCATGTACTCAGGGTGGCCTCCACGAACACAGTCAACTGCAAGTCCTCCAGCAATTGCATACAGAGAAACAACGGTGGCCCATGTTATCGGACCCTGGCATAATTCCTTAGCAACCGCTGCCAGTCCACTTGCAAGGGCCTTTTCAGATGCAGCAGCGCCTCCCGGTAAAGTTGAAATCTGCCGGCCTACATTGGTATATACCTAAATCATAAAAATTAGTTACAATCTGTACGCCAAGAATTTATTTATATAGACAGCATAAAGTATATGTGAAAATAAGAGGGAAAACAGAAATTGAAAATCAATAATTTCAAATCAACATCTTGTTTAAAACATTAAGCATTTCATTTATATTTGCATTTCATAGTTCAGATTCCAATTCTCAGTTTTATTGTACCAGTTATTATTATCAATTATCAAAAGTCAAATATTACAAACTTGTTTCATTTAAGAGCATAGAATTTATTTTTTTTTAAATTTTTTTTTTTTTTTTTTTTTTTTTTTTTTTTTTTTTTTTTTTTTTTTTTTTTTTTGTAGAGACTAGTGTATTATCTATCATAAGATTGAATTTCATTACAACAAAAAACGAGGTTTTTTTTCCAAAGTAACAATGGGATTTTTCCAATCATGTTTCGAATTTTATTTTTATTTTTTATTTTTTACAAAGCCTGTATTGCTTTTGCCAGATTATTTTTAAATACTTTTATGACAATATATTAACATACATAACATATTGGATATAAAACTATGATCCAATGATGACTGCTGATTCTGATCTGCTCATTCTTAACACACACAATGTTAATAGCCAAGAAAATCAATACTAGCATGACTTATTGATATTAGTAGATCAGATATTTGGTCTTCAGAAGCAAAAACAACAATTTATTCCTTGCAGGCTTTAGTTTAGTTAGCAAATGTTAGTGTTTTGGGTTAGACCTAGAAAAATTTATACACCAACACAAATTATGAAAATTAGCCTTCTTTATTTTCAAAACACTCTTTTGGTCAGTTTTTAAGTTTAATTTTAGTGACAGACTATAATAATTATAAGGAATAATATCCAACATAAATTTAAAAAAAAAGTTTGTACAAGGTACATTAGGTAATGTTAAACAAACAAATAAGTCATATTTCTATTTCATCTTGTTTATAATTTAGAACATAATTACATTGCAACACTTTTTTTTGTTTAATGGATCTTTAGATTCTAAGGTTAATACCTGCTATAAAAGTAGAGATTGCATATGTTCAAAGCTAAAGTCAAAAATTGGTCTAATCAATTTTATAAGTGCTATTCTTGTTCTGGTTTTGCGATGGCATCCTAACATACATTGAAAAAGACTACTGAAATACTTTTATAAATAACTGTTTCATATTTAGAAATACATTTCTCAGATAAGATAAGTAGATCCAATTTATAGTTGAACGATTATGCAATGAGATATTTTTAAGACTTTTAACATGTCATCTAAAGGTTTGCAAGGTGATGATCCTGAACATTTGTTTTCCTATCTTCACTGTTTTGGTCTGTCAGACGCACCACTGAAGTTGCGACAAGCCAAAATGTGTCTGATATCACAACTCACCCCACAGACCTTAACAAAATCTCATAATTTAAAAAATATATTTTTAATCTTTAAATTTGGTTAATTGATAGTCAATTTGACAAGTGTTCAATATTATGACCAAGAGTTGCAGCACATTTTATTAATTATTTTTTGTTAAATTCATACCAAGAAAATTTTGCAAATTTTAAAATGGATAACTTGAGACCGTGCTTAAAACAGCTATTACAGACAGACTTTAAAGAAATTCACATTGCTGTGTCGACTACGATTAGCCGTGCCAATAGTTCGTTTAAAACGTGGCCGGAATAAGGATTTGATTATTTACAAATGGGAAAGATTTAAATACCAGAGGAAACACCTGTTGCGCATATGATAAACTGCTGAAATAATTCAGGCCCAGTTAATTGCCGCGTATAAATAATTTATCTTAGGCACTTAAATCGGGCAAGGTATTATTTGAAGTCAAATTTATCGGTGTTCCTAATTAGACTTTATACATATGTTGGACGTTTCGTTGTGTGAACAGGTCGGGAATTTTAATCAGTAGAGATGTTACTGGAGAAACAGCATGCTGAGCATAACCACAATTGTCTCATAAAAATCTGAACTATGCTGAGTCTGTTTATGTACAAACCAAAAACGTTCCCGTAAAAATTAGGAAAAAAAGACATTCTCTTATCTGGATTATCGTTATTGATGGCCGTTTTAACCATTCTGAATCACGGCTTTCGTGAATAGAAAGTTTGGCTTTGGTTGTACACTTAGAAGCGGCAATCTTCGTGATTTAAAAAGGAAAAACTTTCAAAATGGAGAAATCGGGGTTCTACATAGTTCAGCAGCGGAAGAACATCCCTTCTTCAGATTGGAAACTTCCTTTTAGAAAACCTCTGACTCAAACTTTATCTAAACTGCTCAAAAATGAATAGGGATATTTGTAATTTATTCTTATTCTATTCATTTTAATTAAATTATGTGTTCTTGTTAGTTGGATTTAAAAAAAATAGAAAATACAAACCAAAAGCAAACAAATATTAATCCTTATTTTTAATAACGGATATACTTAAGAAGATGAAGAATGAAATGATGAAGACTATGATTACTCATTTTGTAAACAAACACCTTTTCTCGTCTTTTCTCCATTTCAATCCAGTGGTATTTTCTTCAACCACGGAAAGACATGATCTTGAACCAGAAGTTCGCAATACTATTGTGAGAATGAATCATCGAGGTCACCGGCAAATGGATATCAAAGAGGGAGTTGGCGTTTCTCAGACGTGATCTCAGCGCATTACGACTCTGAGGGAGGACAGAAATATTGTCATTGCTGGGAGACGGATCCCTTTCCATTGTGCCAGCCAGACCCCAAATGAATTACAAAATGTTTTGGCAAGCTTTGCCAACAGAAACGATTCGTAATCGTTTGTGAGAAGTTGGCCTCCATCGCATGCCCCTTTTGAGACGACCTGCAGCAACAGCCCACAACCATCAACTTAAGTGAATATGGTGCAGCAAGCGCCTAGAAGTGAAACCAATTGGAACGCTGCTAGTTTACTGATGAGTCGCGTTGCTGTACAGTGATTGCAGGCGCCGAGGAGTCTACAGAGAACAGGAGATGCGTACAACGCCCCAGTTCCTGCTCCCTTCAGTGCAATTTGTAGAGGTGGTGTAATGGTCTGGGCTAGGATTTACACTGGAGGACGAACTGGACTGAAGGCAATCTCATCTCTTTCCGTTATGTTCAAGAATAGGAATACATCCCTCAAACCAGGGATCTCATTGGCAGGGATTCTCAATTTCTAGATGGCAATGCCCCAGACCTCATAGAGGCAGAATTGTTCTTCAATGTTTAGAAATCCTGGGAATTTCCCATCTGCTCCTTCCCCATTGTCACCAGACCTTTATCCCATTGAGCGGATGCTTGCAGAGAAGGGTTTTCGATCACCATACAACTGCGTACAGCGTTGCAGCAACTATGGAGTGCAATTCCTTATGAAATTGTGATACCCTTATTAACAGAATGCATAACAGGTGCACAGAGATTTTAGCTAACGGAGGACATTACACACGGTATTAATTATTTTAAAACATTGCTGTATCCAATAAACAAAATTATGGAATTCTTTAGAGGCCTTTTATTTTATTATTCTTCAAAATCCCTTAATTAAATTTTCCTTCAGTAAAACATAATAATTTCTAATAAATTTTAATGCAATTGATAATGAAAATAAAATAAAAATGTTAGGGAAAGTAAATACTACAAAATTGTCAATACCCCTATTCATTTTTGAGCAGTTTAAATAAACAATCAGAAGGAACTTTTAGATTGTGGAACATTTTATAAAATGTTGTTAAAAACCTAAGTATAACGTTTGTATTATCTTATCTTTATAACTTGTTACTAGCTTTATCTATTGATATCATTTTATAAAATCACTAGGCTTAATGCACCTGTACAATCAATAGTTGACCTACCTATACCATATTTCTTATTTAACATACACCGCAAAATATTTAGTCAAGGTACAAACCTTAGGATGGAGTCTTTCCAGTTCGGTCCCTATACTAATCAGATCCGGAAGAACTTGCCTGACGACATAACCGCCTGGAAGTGACGCCGTGCTTCTGAGTCTTTGCAAACCGCATTTCTTCGTAAACACACCGCTTCTTTTCAGTCTTGAGCTAATTGAACCATCAAATTAAACCTTTTGGAAGAAATTTTTTCTTGGCAAGTACTAAACACTAATCACCGTATATATTGAATGCAGAGTGCTCTGCCTTGGGACACTATCTCTGCCTGGGCTGCCGAAGATCCCCAGCCGAGAGAATGGGAAAATTTCCGAGCTGTGAGGCCTACGTTGGAAAATCGTCTTGAGATGGGTCGAGGGCCGAGGAGTGTGGCTGGAGACGAGAGCTTCCTTCGGCCCGCCCCCGAAGGCCTAGTAGCCAGAAAGCTGTCCTCACCTCCACCCGCATCGCTGCAACATAAAACGGAAGTCTGGTGAAATGTTTGACAAACCATTAGGACCGACTAGCTTCGTTGTACAACACAACGAATCAGCCACTTCTAAAATTTTATCATATACATAATGTATTCAATACAGCATCCGGCCGTCGTAACTCGTCACTGAAAAATATGGGTGAAGAAATGAGCATGATATAGTAAATGGGGGGGGGGCGAATGGATACATAGATGGCTGTATGTATGTATATGGCTGATTAACTCGAAACATAACAGGACGATTATAATGTAAACAAAAAAAATAAATAGATGTATAGGTAGTTGTGTAGTGACCATGGACCAAAGACTAATAGTAGTTGTATCAATGGTATAATACCTCACATTACATCTGATCATAAATCATGTTGAAAAAATGAAAGTAACATGATTAAACATTTAGTGTTTCGCAATTGCACGTTAAATCATCTCGTATTTTCATGTTTGTCTTCCAGAAATAGGCAAGGTAACAACCGTGATTTCTAGTTTGCCCGGGGTACTTTTAGGTAAGAACACATTCGTTAACCAGATCGGAATTTTTATAGGGACACGGTCCAAGTTCATTTTAGATTTATTAAGCTTCATGTCAAGTTAGAAAAAACCTCTTTTTGTCCTAATTAAAACGTCTATTTTTCATTTATTAAATAAAGTGCTCAATTTAAGAGTCCGTGCTTCGTTTTTAATTTATATTTAGATTCGTAGCATTTTTGTGAATTGTGGTTTATTTTTTGGATCGTGCTTACCTTTTTCAGTGTGTTCATTTATCTGCATAAATTTCCTGAACCTAGCAATCACTAATATCTGATAAAAAAAACACCACTACAATTGAACATATACAGAAAACCACAGTGACGGACATAGTACACAAATTACCCCATGGATGCAAAATGGTAGCAGTAAAATACATAACACACAGACACAGATTAAAACCAGTGCCACTTACTACTACTAAAGAGATTTACGAAAGCAAACTAAACGCAACAATAGTGATAGTGTGAATAGGTTTGGATTTAGAAATTGCTAGGGTTGGGTGCTGAAATGACCTAGCTGTTGACAGCCCAGCATCGCTTTTTGGATGTTTAAGACTACTGCCAACTCCCGAAGTGGGTGATTTATTGTAAATTGCATAAGCTGCCAGTGGACTGCGAGAAGTGATAGGTTCAACTCTGAACATGTGTGTGTGTGGTGTGTGTGTGTGTGTGTGTGTGTGTGTGTGTGTGTGTGTGTGTGTATTTGTGCTTATGTATTTTAGCGAATAAGACTGTTGTGAAAAATATTGAGTAGTTTTCTTTAATGTGTAACATCCCGCGATCACACTAGAAATATAAATACAGGTATCGTTTTGTGAATTAAGCTAGCTCGTTTTTGATTGAGTTTATGAGATAATACATAATCTTTCAACATACATAAATTATTTTTATCTTTTATTTCTGAATAATACAAATACCTTCAACCCATTAGCAGAACTACAATCACACTACAACACTGTCTATTTAATTTGGACTAACGTCGCTAGCACTGTCACAGTTACAGACCAACTAGTTACCAAGAAAGGTTTGAGGGAATCCATCGGGATTTGAGGATTTATAGTGGTTGGGAAAGTTTTATGAAACTTCCTGTATCAGGAGCGAATTAACAGGAAGGATCCATGGTAGTTTCGTTTCTGAGGAATTTCTGAGGATAATGAATTGGGCAGTTTGGATGCTATGGACTTTGGAATATTTGGATGAATCGCACACTTCCAGTCGGCTTAAAACTAAGGTACTTTTATTTGTGAAGGGTAAATCTGAGCGTTTATCAAGAAATCGTAAAAGAGCCGTGATTCGTTTGTCGATGTACACTTTTAGAGGAGCACCTTGCCCGCTGTTGAAAGGGAAGTATTGAATTGAAGTAGATAGGGGGGCAGTCCTTTTTGCGGAGAGTGAAGGTTATGTGAGTGAATTTTTTGTGTTTAAACTTTGGTTCTTTCCATACAAAAGGCTCCAGTAATGTGAGGTGATGTTGAAGGTTTCGAGTGGAACCGACAGGATCAGAGTTACCTCGTTATCAGAGCTGATTTTGAGAAGGTTGGTTAGGGATCACTAGTAAGTTCGAGATCAGGGATGCGGTCAACAAAAAACAAGTGAGTTTTGTAACTTATGCCAAGCTTTCAAACTTATTGAGGTAGTCATCAGGGCTCTACAAGTAATAACAACATTTATAATTAATAACATAATAATAATAAAAATAAGTAAGAATAATTCTTAGATAACAATGAATAACTACTCGTCACAATATTAAAAGTAAAATTTTATAATATTGTGATGAGTAAGTTATCCATTGTTGCCTGAGAATTATTGTTACTTATTATTTATTAATTATAAACGTTATTCTTACTAGTAAAGAAGACCTCAATAAAGGTTGAAAGCTTGGCATAAGATACAAAACTTAAATAATTTCCCTTTTTTATTTTTGAATAATTTTTTAATTAATTGTATTCATAATATTGCTTCTGCACAACAGATGAAAGAAACCTAAGGGGATTTTCGCCACTGTTTTATTTTACGAAGGAGGAAAATAGTCGATCAGGGAGTAGCGGTGGTGAAGAGGTTTAAGTCCGAGCTTTGAAAAAACTTTATTTAAAGAACAAAAACTTCAACATAAGTGGAATGATAACAAACTAAAAGCCTTAATAGATTTTCTTAAAAAAATCCACGGTCCAATTGCGAGATAGCCGAGATACTTGCTGTATTTCAGACAGAAATAAATTCCACTTACCTTTTAAATTTAGGTAGAACGTGGGAGAATTAAAAAAAAAATTTCAAACTATATTTTTTATAATTTACGTTTTTTGTGCTATAGATTATAAAACGCATACTTTTTTTACGTGTGACTATCGTAGGGTAAGCTAAAAGAAGCTATCAGGGGCGGACTCGTCCCAAAGTTTAACCTCTTGAAGTTAACTTTGATCAAAAGGGCCAGTTTAGTTAAGTATCTATCAAATGGAATACAATGACAAGCTATTTACGTTAGTGATTAGAAGTCAGTGACTAAATTAGTCAGTCTTACTATAAAGTCAATATTTTCATCTTGATGTTTTTATTTTTTTATGGAAATAGAATTGTGAGATGTCTCCGTGTGGTCTGCGGGGTGCCGTACTTGTCCCTTTGTCTTTTCAAAAATGTTCAAAACAGAAGTAAATTAAAAAAATCTTATGAATCGACCTACAAGACTGATGGTATTACTAAATTTGCCTAACTGAAATATTAATATTGTTATGAATGAATATTTATTTATTTACATGATTTGTGTACAATACATACATCAACAGTAAGGAAAATATCGTAGCACTACAAATTCCTACTACAATACGACTTAAATAAGTACAGAAAATTTATTTAGCATGCAAGATTTTATCGTGGAAAAATGTGTATAAAAAACCATAAACAGAAGGATTAACTTAATGAATAAATAAATAAATAGGTAGAAATACATTTAAGATAAATAAATAAATATTGTTATGATAGGCAATATCAATTTCTAACTAGACTAGGTAACAATTCAAGTACATAATGCTTAATTCGATTGTTTCCATTTAGCTGACGGGGTCTGCCCCAATGGGGAAATCGGATTTTTGGAGCCCCCATAAACCTAAAAAATTCTTTGGCCGCGTTATGTATTTCCTCCTTTATCTATCCCATGTTGTATTGGCATGCAACTGTTATGAATTGAAATGTAATAAAAATGAGCTATATTAATATTTGTTTGGCTAGTGAAATTCTATGCTGGGCACGCTTATAGCAATTTCGGCTTATCTACGGTCTTAAATATTAATAATTTGTCGGATACCGTTATTCCAGACTCTTTTCTGAGCAAAGGAGGGCGTAATCGAATTCTGCTTTGCCTTTGGCCACAACATTATTTATGTGCGCTAAAATTTGAGTCGAGTGCTATAACTACGTAGGTTACCGCCATTGACGAACGGACATTCCCTCAAGTGAAATATTATGGGAGTGGAAATGATGAATAGCGATATATGTAATTTATTCTTATTGTGATAATTTTTCATTAAATTATCCGATATATTCTTATTAGTTGGATAAAACAAATTGGAAAATACAAACCAAAAATGTCAACCCTTATTTTCAATAACGGATTTACTTAAGAATAGTAAACATGAAGATTACTCATTTTGGTAATAAACCCCATTTCTCGTCTCGGCTTTAGCCTGATTTCGAGGGACTGGAAGTGGAGACCTATTGATTAGTAGTGGAACTCAGCACATTACGACGCTGAGGGAGGACAGAAAAAGCTGCAAGACGGACTCTTTCCATAGTGCCAGCCAGATCCTAAGTGAATTACAAGATGTTTTGGCGTGGTCTTTATCAACACATACAATCGTAATCGTTGTAGTAAGTTCGCCTCACATAGTGTGCCCCTTTGATGTATGTATGTCCACGCTATAGAGGTTCAACAAGAAACCGGTTTAATTCGCAGTGGAGGAAAAACTATCTTCTGAATCAACCCCCTAAACCCTTTATAAAAAACCTATTAGCATTAGTGATTACTGATAATGAACCGAGTCGTTTTCTTTCAGGACCACGCAATGGTAGTTCGTTAATAACGCGGCTAAAATTGCTGCACTTGGTGAGGGACATATCGACTGAACTGATGGTTTATTCTTTATATTTCCATCTAGAATTATTTAATGAAAATATCGTGTTTTCATTTAACAATCGTTGAATAAAAATCTCAAATCTTGTTATATGTACAGACTGAAAGTTCCACTAAGTTTTCGGTATAAACGGCAATATAATTATTATTTTAATTATACCAACTTTAATTTTTAAAAACTAAACAGAAGTGGGATTTATCAATCTACGAGGGAAATAAAAAATTGAATGTATCGCCTTTATTCAATTGGCATCATCACGTTGTGCTATCTACAATCAAACAATTTTCCTTAATTCTAATAACAATTTATCTTAAAAATATTATTACACAACTAATAAACCTTTGCA